TTCCGTTAGTATTTCTCACCTATAATATTCAAATTTTGCTTTAACCTTCTTCCCAACATGTTCTTGTGGCCAAAAGGCCAAAAATCACAGAGCAGTATCAAGAATAGAACTAGAAATAAATCAGAAACATTATCTACTCTTGTACTAAGGCCTATTGTGGATGTACTTGGAACACCATGTGCAGACAAGGTCAAATGAAAAGCTAATGGATTTGTCATTGAAAAATTTTTTTGAATGGGGCAAGACTTTCAAAATTAGAGTGCTTCGGCCCTGGAAGACAAAGACTAAAATAAGATACTATTAAAGCCTATAAAATTATGATGTTCCTCGCATCCTCTGGATTCAGAAAAGAGACAATTACAAAGGAAATCGAAGGAAGGCTTGCTTCAGGAGTAAGCCATAAGTGGCAATAATAAGTAAAAATATAAATATATTTGAAAAGGGTTGTGAAATGTTTACAAATTTTAAATTTATAATTTATTATAGAGAAGGCCTATATGAAAATAAATTGGAAATGTTTCCTTTATATCCTTCACTTGTCCTCCCATGAAATACCTTTCAGCTGGATGAGTCATTGACCTAACTCACTGTGACATTTTTATATTGGCAGTTTTTCATTTCAGGGTCTCTGCTGTAGCTCCACTTAATATGGTATCTATGCCATTGAGTCTAGCCATAGCCATTCATACATTAACACATACATGTTTAAAGCATCCACACATTTTTATAATGTAAATAATAATATTTCAAACTCAAACAGGAGCCTTTGAGACAAGAGAAAATTGTATGTATTACTTATTCAGTAATGATCATTCAATAATGGATTTGAAATTGATTTGAAAAGTATACATATACTTCAGAAATGTGAACCATTAATATTCCTCTTCATACTGTTTCATTTCTTTCCCCCTTTAAAGATTTTTGGTACCTCTTAGTGTCAACATAAATGCTAGAGTGCAAATTGGCCTCACTGGTTTCCATTCTTGCTGACAGTTTAATATAAAGTCTGCAAAACAAAACAAAATTAAATAAACACAAACCTTATATATCATTTTCAGTTGTAGAACAATTACATAGGAACTCCTTTATTCTGACTCCACTTTATGAAACCAAACCCAAACCAAAAAATTTAGATTGACTATATCTATGTACTATTAATATTTCACTTCTAAACGTACCTCATTGCATGCTGAGGATAGAAGAGATTAAAAATATACTTTTCTAAATCCCATTTCCAAATACTAAGGTAATCAGTATTTTCTGTGGGTTTTTGCATTTGGAGACTCTGTATGATCAGCCTTTTTCAGTGACAATTTGAAATTTTTGTTCATTTGTTGTCTCAAGGGAACCCATGGCACAGCACAGGGCCCACTACCTAGTAAGCATTCAAATATATTTCACTTGATGGTTATTTCATTCATAATGTTAATAGAAAGGTGGAAATGTCTGAAATGATTTCAATATTGTTTAAGTTTAGTGTGACTTCTAACAAACAAAAGAACACCTCAAGCTGTAATTGTTCATTCGTTTAATGACAGTTCCTTGCCTGGTAACCATGTCAAAGGCCCAGAGATGCCCTTTCTCTGATAGACTGCTAGTCCCTCAAGAATGGGAAATGTGATTAGCTCAGAGAGTTAAATGCTGCTTCTGATGGCAACGGCATCTTTCTTAGACAGCGCAAGGATGAGCTGGAACAGAGAATGTCTGCTCTCCAGGAGAGCCGGAGAGAGCTAATGGTGCAGTTAGAAGGTCTCATGAAGCTACTAAAGGTAAGACATTTTAATTACATGTTTCCTAGACTTACTACCATGGCATTTGTGAAGATTTTTTACAATTACTATATGTGATTTCCCCAAAAGTTTCAAACTCAGATGCAGAACTCTTTTTTAGACCAATGAAACAGTAGCAATCAAATATAGAGCTCATTCTTGTCCATTTCCTGGAACCAGACTGCTGACGGCCTTCATGGGGCAACTGCTTCTTGGTTTATTTCATTTCTTTATGTCCTTGAAAGTAATAAAACTGGATTTATTTAGAAATATTTTGTATATAATAGCTTTCTGCAATTCTGATTAAATTGAATAGAGGCTAATGTCTAATTCAGAAAAGTAAGATATAGCCATTAAATAATTTTGGTGATTGTAGTTTTATTAAGAGGAATGACTTTGTTGATTTCAGTAAAATATTTTATCCCATCTGTGTGGCTTTAGTGGTAAGTCACGTGATTTCTAATGGTCTCAAATGCAAACTGTAAATGAGAATATCTCCTTACTCTTCTGTGAGTAGAGTTTTTTATTAATAAAATGATCTTCTGTAGAATACTATAGTCTATTTTTCTCATTGGGGAGCGGCATTCTTCTTTTAATAAAGCCTTTTCCCTTCTTCGGTGTATATTACATTATATTTCAAGTCAAAAGTAGACAAGTTGTGGCCACAGGCAGCCCAGTAGAAGCATCAGTGCTGTGTGATCATCCTGCCCGATGTAAACAGCCATGAACCAGTGTGGACTGGAACTGTGCCTTGCCAAAGGCAGGAAATGAGACTTCTGATAGGAGCACAATGAAGGGATGACCCTAGGCAGCTCCCTGCTGAGACAGGATGTCCTGACTTTCAGTCTGTGGGTCCCCACATCCCTGACACACCATCATTTGCTGTTTTTATTTTGTCCGTCCTTCCTTACTCCCTTTCTGTCTTTCATTTGTCTTTCTTTTACTTTTTCGTTTTTCTTTCTTTCTTTCTTTGTTCCTCTCTCTCCTTCTTTATTTCTCTTCTTTAACAAATGTTTGTTGAAACTTACTGTGTCCCAGGCACTGCTCTTCTAACATTTCTTTCTTTCGTTTTCCTCGCTCTCTTTTGTTCCTTGGTCCGCTTTTCCCGCCATCAATGTCCTCTTTAACAATCAGCGTTGGGAATGCTTTATCTTCACTCAACAAAATTTACTTGTTGGTAGATTAGACATGTAAAGTATAGAATTCAGGGGTTTTTCTGTTTTGTTTTGTTTTGTTTTTTACCTATGTTAGGCAAGGCAGGACTAGATAATTAACAACCTGCTGCTGTTTCTGGCCTATTATCTCATAATAACCCAGAAATGCTCTTTCTACTTCCCTTTCCAAATACACCAAATGAAGAGAACTGAATTCCTCTTTCCCTCACCAAATGACAGGAAGCTCTGAAAACTGTCCCCTATGTTCCTATAACTCCTGTCGCCATAATGATGACACTTTCGCTATGGGACAGGAGTCTATATTCACCACCAGCCATCTCGGTAACAGCCTAGCCCAACTGAGCACAGCCTTTGTATCAAAGTGTACAAACACCAGGATAGAGAGACAGATCATGTTGAAAGATGGCTGAAAAGATCCTCTTTCCATGGAGGAAAGACATGGTTCTGTAGTCTCAAAGACCTAAGTAGACTTAGATCCATAGTCACTGAAGTGGCAGAGGCCCCGACTTGCATCAAAGCTATGTTGATGTTTCCCCCATCTTGCATTCCTTCACGCTGTATACGTGCTCTTATTGGAACCCTGGGTAATCTAACTGTTATTGATTCAATCTTTCTGTAGGAAGAAGAACTGAAGCAGGGAGTAAGTTATGTCCCCTACTGCAGGTCTTAACTAACAGTGGAGGGGCCTGCCGACCTGCCGTTTTCTCATTGCTTTTGCCTCTAATGTATGTTCATGCTTCAGTTTGGAAAGAGAAAAAAAAAATCATACTAATTTGCTTCCTTTTCAATGTAGTGCTTGAATTAAGAGATATAAAATTGAGCATTTTTATAACTATCACTACTATCAGCATCAAAAGAAGAGCTATTACATCTTTTAGAAGAGGGAACAAATTGTCATTTGTTGGAAACTTTTTGGATCCCCAAGGGTAGAAGTTTCAAACCAGTCTCATGCTTTTCAGGATTGTTGATCTGACCCTTCTCCTAATAGCAAGACACCCACCACAGTCACTAGAGCTACACCGAGGCTCATATCATCTCAAAACCCACAGCATTTAGAAGCTGACCTCTGTATCATCTCATGCTGTGAATATTCAGTTCACTTTCCATTTTACTGAAAATGTGTGGAACTTCTTTTTATAAAAATGGGGCAATTAAATCTCTTTTCATCACATAATTATTAAGTCCTGTTCCCCACTGATCACCAAAATGTGCTCAATCTTATGAAAGACCATACTCAGTAACTGTTCACTTCCCGTCTTTTTGGTTTTTCCCTAAAGCAGAATCCCTACCGTTGGTTGACAATAATCTCTAAAGAAGAGGTAATTTTCAGCCTTTCTCTTATCACCAAGAACCTTTCTGCTCTGAGAGTTCAGGTCATTACATACACTTTTTTTTTCTGGAAATAGGGGCATTGTGACACTAACCATGGTTTAAACTGGAGCGTGTCTGAACCCATGGTCGGGTTCAGAAGCCAGCAGAGGGAGCAGCATACAGGACAAAAATTAAATTAAATTAAATAGAAGCAAAATAAAAGCAGCTTTTATTTCAAGTGCATGTACCAAGCTGTGTATGACAATATATCCCACTCACTAGCATCATTAAAAAGTTTTATATTATTTCCATGGAGCAATTAGAACCCAGCCTGTCCAATTTCAACGTATCTTTTAATTCTTCTGTATGCTCTTTGCTATTATTCATTGTGTGTGTTTGTGTGTAACCAAGAATGTTTGCAAAATGCTGGCCACATTTTTACCCTTCATTCCCATGGTCTGTAAAAAAGGAAAGTGTAAAATCAATCTGTAATGTCAGACAATAAAGACAATGTATTACATTATTTTGTATTCTGTGAAAAAAATTACTTTACTAAACTAAAGTCAAATTTTAATAAGAAACAGTCCCTCTGGGTGAAGGACACGCAACATTTACAGCCTGTATAATTGCCCGTAAATGCGTACATGGGGTATTGCTATTGTGCTTCCTATATACTTAGATCATGGTAGAGAAAAATGCCTTTCTCTTGGTACTTCTCTCTGCAAATGGCCTCTTTTCTTTCCTGTCTCTTACTTAGCATGTACAGTAAAAAAAAGGAAATAAGATTCAAATATAACCTTTCTCCTCCTAGTGGAGAGAGAGGGCAATGGTCCTGTATTCCGTCAGCCTTGCTTTAGCCATTTCCCTTGGAGGTCCCTTCCCTACCATTTCCCGGGCAGCACGTTCTTAAAAGGCTCCCGCAGACCAGGAAGTTCGTAACAGATGGGTGCACAAAGCCAAGCTATGGCAGTGCCTGTAAGGCGGCACCACTGCCCACCCCCCCCCCCCCGACCTTCCACCTCGGAGCCCCTCAGCAGCGTCTGCATCTTGGGAGGTCGGCCAGCAGCGGTTCATCAGCATAGGCATCTAAGGCCATTAGTCCCCACCATGCAGAAGTCTGTAATGCACTGTCTGGGCGGTGGGAGAGTTTGCCCGTTTTACTTACTTCTGTATTCGCTTTTATACTCAAGCCTCTTTTCATAAAGGATTTGAGGCAGCTTACAACAAAACGTATAAACAGCAACTTCGTAAAATTGAAATAGAACAAGAGAAAACTAAAGAAAGGAAAATGTGAATATGCTAATCATAAAGGACAAGGGTGTTACTCTGAGCTTTCGGGCAATGAAGCAAAAAAGGAAAATATAATCAGTGATTTTATCAGTACAGAAATAGCACTTCTCAGGGGAACAAAATTTCTGTTGGTGTAAAATATAAAAGAAACTTTTCACTCAGAGCTTTATAGAAGGACTACCGAATAATAAAATGGGAAAATGCAGTCATAGATTTCATGTGGCTGTTTCTTATACTGACCTTCAGTCAAAATTAAAGACAGAACCCCATAAATCTTAACCCTATAGAGGCAGTTCTACAAGGAAATAAACAAATTGCCTGTCCAAATATATAGGCTTCTTGTGGTATAACATGATCTAAGGAGAGAATTTAGAGGTTTTTAGACTGGCATCTGCTTCTAAATTCTGTTTTTATTTATGAGCCTTTTCCCTTTGGGGACATTCTTTTTGTAAAACCGAACTTAAACACCCCACACAAAAAATTGTGCTTGATTTAATGACTTCTACTTGCTTTATCATAAGTCTGTGTGGTTCAATGTAGTGTTTTATTATACTGGTATATACAATTCCTACTTACATTGTTTCTTGTTAGAGGTAATGCATGAATTTATTCCCCTGGAGGAGAGAACATGAATTTTCAAAAGTAGTGCCTGTAATATAATATGATATATGGTATCACAAGCAATAAATTTTTTTTACAAAACTTGAATCGAAGTTATCCTACCCTCTTTCTTCTTTGTGTATCTTTAAGATTTATTGAAGGAACCATGGAAAAAACACTCATAAAAAGCTTAATAACGAGGGCAGCAGGAGTGTAGTTGCAGTAAGAATATGTTACAGAGTTTCTGGTATACTTCCAGTTCCAAATATTACATACCAGTCTAAAACCAAGTATCCTGACTTTGAGTCCAGACAGTAAGGTCTCAATAATAATTTTCTTAGAAAGGTTATTGGACCTGAATGCCAGTGGTTCCAGCTCTTTGCTCACAACTGTAAGATCTTGAGTAAGTCCATTAACCTCCTCGTAATCTGTTTCAGACATACTGATAATACATGGCTCATAGGATTGTTGTATTGAATTTAAAAGATAACAGATGTGAAAACACTTCGGAAAATAATATATAAATGTCAAAGATAAGTATGAATATATGTATATATGTATACACATGCACATTATATAAACTTTTCAAACTTGGCCCATATTTTTTGTACATACACACTCACACGTTCACTTTTCTTCTTTATAGTTAAATAACAGTGTCTCTGTCAGGGGAAGAAATTTGAACAGGACTTTTAATTCGTCCAGATCTCTTGTAATTACTTTTAACAGCAGAAAACAGAGTCACTCTTATTTAACAAAAAGTGACAGAACCAGTCCAGTGAGATTATATTTTTCCATTTCTGGGACTATCAGATACAATCCTAGGTGTGCTAATATCTACAGAGTGTTGCTTTCACCCAAATTGAAGTACATATTTTAAAAAGCTAATACAGTGAAGGGCTGAAGTGGCAAATGTTCTGTTCACGTGCAATAAAACATCCAAGACTTTTTCTGAAAGTTTTATTTATAATATATATGTTTGTGTAAGAGAGGTGATTGGTACAGGGTGCATATTTTGGTCAAAGATCAAAATTAGGCCGGGCGCGGTGGCTCATGCCTGTAATCCTAGCTCTCTGGAAGGCCGAGGCGGGCAGATTCTTTGAGCTCAGGAGTTCGAAACCAGCCTGAGCAAGAGCGAGACCCCGTCTCTACTAAAAATACAAAGAAATTAATTGGACAACTAAAAATACATAGAAAAAAAATTAGCCGGGCATGGTGGGACTACATCCCTGTAGTCCCAGCTACTCGGGAGGCTGAGGCAGAAGGATTGCTTGAGCCCAGGAGTTTGAGGTTGCTGTGAGCTAGGATGACGCCACGGCACTCTAGCCCGGGCAACACAGTGAGACTCTGTCTCAAAAAAAAAAAAAAAAAAGATCAAAATTAAGTTTGTGTTAATTTTCAAGGCTTTTTTTTTTCAAATTTTCAATGAGGATTCATTTTGAAAACTACATTGTAAACTTTGGAATCAAGTTGTTCTTTATTTGGGAGGATAATGTATATACATTGGTATTATGTTAAATAATATAATTGTACTAATTCAGTGGGGAAAAAAATTTAAAAAATGTCAAATATCTTTCCAAATTCCATTGCCTGCCCCCATTCTCTTCTCTATTTATAATTGAATGGTCCAATTAATTCAGGAAATTGTAGTCATCAGGTTCTTACTCCTTCCAAACACGTTATGGAATACAAGCAGACCAGAAGTGACTGATTTTACCAGCTGGGGTTTCACCTTCCTGCCTTTCCCTTGCTCAGCCTCCCTGGTGGGTATTCTATGGAGTAGTGAACCAGTCACAAGTCAGGGAGGGGATAATTCACCTCACCAATAATCAACTGCAATGTGAAGACTATCATGTCGTGTTCAAAATATGTACCCTCCCAGAGTCCCAGACTCTCTCCCTCTCTCTCACCTTTTTTTTAAAAATTAAGGATTGATTGATTAATTCTAGAGAAGTAAAAATTATTTCTCTGCTTAAAAACCTTGGAAGAGGACCCTCTAGTTCAGGATAAAGTCTATACTGGAGGCCTCCAAACTTGGCTCCCCCTTCCCACTCCCATTTCTCTCTGCTGCCTGCAGCCAGCCTGGTTGCTAGAGCCATGCTGGCCTTCCTACCAAGTCCACAATACCCCTCACACTTACTATGCCTCATGCTATGCCAAGGCCCAGAAGCTCTCCTCTCCTCTACTCCCAAAACTTCCTCTTTTCTGCCTGGAAATCTCCACTGTCAAAACCCAAGTCAAATGATCCCTCCTGCCCGACCACTTAGAATTAATCTCCTCCTCTGTAACTCCACAACACTTTGTACACAAGAATCTCTTTAAAAAGGCCATTATAGAAATTACCATCAGTATGATGATAGTCAGTGAATGTATGATGAATGTATATGAAGAAAGGATGAAAAAAAGGATTGAATGTAGCTAAACACTGTTTTGCTGTGTCCAGGCTGCCAAGTGCAACCAGACATGACCAGGCTGCATCCCTGGCCAAACAAACGTAAGGGGCAGACTTTTTTAGGTCTGGGGGGAGGGGAGTGCATAACACTCTACTGCTTCACCAGGGTGCGCTGGCTAGACACTTAAACATTGGCTCCTTTCCTTGAAGCACCCCTCATTTCTAGTGCTGAGTAGAAACCAAAATACTTCCTGGAAAAAAAGAAATCAGAAAATTTATGAATCTTGTCAGATTTTTTAAAAATTGATACAATAGCAGGTTGAGTAGGCTCTGAGGACAGCGTGTGGAAATTAATTTTTCATTTATTCTCTAGGAAGAGAGCTATTTTAAATTTGCCAAGTGTGATGTATGCTTTCCTTCTTCCATAAATCAACTCTCTTCTAGAGAATTTTAGATCTATATATTGATCTGCATGGACCATTGTCCCTTAAGCCTTTGCTCCATTAATCATTGAGTAATTTCCAGGCAAGGATGTTCACAGAGATTATTCACTCTTACTCTTCTAAAGTTGTTAGCAGACAACGATGCTTCATGACCAGGCTAGAGGCCACCATTCCACAGAGGCTACCACCTGTGAAAATGAAACCCAGTGATATTGCCACTGATCTTCCCCAATGTCAAGAGGTGACTGCCCTTTCCTAGTGGCTTTACAAGAACAGAACAGAAAGGAAGGCCAGAGATGGCACTCGCAGTAGGCGCTAGGAAGATACTATGCATCAAACTGGACGGTGTCCTGACAAAAAGAGAGATGGGGCCGTGATCACCCAGGGAGTCACTTTCCTAAACCCACAAGTCTGGGTAAAGACTGGATGTGACTTAGGAGTTGCAAATTGCAGGAAAGATACAGCTGAATCTTTTCTTCAGCACTGAATCTTCCACCTAAATTCTTCACATAATCAAACTGCTTGAAATTGCACCAATTAGAGATTTCATTTGGGAAATGGTGGCTATTCGTCATTCACACATTGATGTAATTTAGACTTAGTCAATTGTTTTTCCCTTAACACCATAACAACAGTCAATTATTTTCCTCTTAACACAGAACCACTAATGGGAGTTTTGAAAAAAGGCAACAGACAGAAAGGAGGAGGAAAAGTTGGCTCTGGAGACCAGGCACTGAGCAGGGCGAGGTAGGGCTGGGAATGTCTCCGACAAACTTGAGCAGGAGAGCCACGTGCCCCAGGAGCAGGGGAGAGAAAAGAAGGAAGAAGGGCCAAATATATTCCTCTCCTTACAGATGCTGCCCCAAGGAGGGGAACCCCCACGAGAGCCCTGCACTGGGGAGTCCATGTAAGAGGTGCAAGCAGGGCTGGTGTGCACCACAGCCCCGGTACAGCCATTAAAATGTTTGAAATATTGTCCATGGCCCCGTATCTGAAATCACTGGGTCCAGATATGCTCCAAAACTCAGACTTTTTCAGGCTTTTGAAAGACAACACAATGCAGATTTCATACCCATGGCCTCATATCCATTAGGATCAAATTCATTATGAAATGACATGTGTTTCTCAGAGCTTTTTGGATTGAATGATGATGCCTACTTCATAGGGTCATGGAGAGAAATCACTGAGAATATATGGGAAATCCCTTTGAACATCATAAAGCACGACACAAATGAAGTTATTTACCGTTGGCACGGGAAACTGGGGAGTGCAGTGGTAGCTCACAAGCACACGGTTTCAAGGTAATGGGACTGAGCTGCCAAAGTTTGCTGGGGAAAACCGGACCCCTCCTTGAGCAGTCTGGGGGTAGCAGGCTGCACAGCATCGCAAGCAGGCAAAGTGCTCTTCCTTGGGCCTGGACAGACCCTTACAAGGTACTGTTGAGAATGAAAGAATGGAACCCTCAGCCCATTTGGGCACCACATGAGTTATTTTCTGTGTTCTGTTTTGCTTCCTTTTTAATTCTGGGTTTTTCTCATTTTATGCCTGTGACAATTATGTGTGAGGCTGAGCCCTGGAGAGCTAACAGCATGGCATTTTACAGGATCGACGTTGTGTGTTTTAACTGCAAGCTGCTGAGCCCAAAGCAAAGATCTCAATTGGTTATTCAAGAGCACTGCTCTCATGGTGCTCATCCAGTTGTTTGAATGGGTTAACCTTGGATCTCTGGGCCTTGCTGGAAAAGAGTTCTCACTCAGTGGCCAGACCCAACAGACTGGGACGGAGTGGATGTGAATACCTAATCTGTTGTGTATGCACTCAAGGATCTCCTTGCATTTACTTATGCATGTATGACTGACTTCCTTTGTCAACTAATCATTAAAACAAGGAGACTATTTCCAAGGGACCTCATTGTAAAGACAATGAGGTGTCACAATCTCAAGATGGTTTCATGCCAAAAAGTGTAGTGCAGAGATAAGTGTCTTTTAGTTGTTTCCTACTTTTTTCTTTTCTCATTTTTAAATCGTACTATTCTTACTGTCCTGCTAGATCACTGCTTTTTCATAGGTGAAGAGAAGGACATTTCCTGCAGGAAACAGCAGCCAAACATTAAAAGCCAAGATTTCTTTTTCCTCTTCCCCATTCCAATTCCCTGAGTCACAGGATAATTTGACAAAATCAGCCTTTAATATAAAATAGGGATAAAACAATTTACACCTCATTTAATTCTTAATTTGAGACTTAATACACACAACATTGCATGACATGACTTA